TGCAGCCGGGGCGTTCATGCGTGGTAATGCCGTAATACCATTAATTCACGAATTATATCCGATAAGCCCTTAAAATATGGTCACCTGCCTCAGTTTTTCGTTTAGTCTTTTTTAGGAAAACCTAAGTTTTTCGTTAAGGTTTTTTGTAGGAAAACCGACATTCAGTCAATATTGTTGTGCCTAAAACCCAACGATAAATTATAATATTTTTGGTGTTGGAAAATTTCAGTGCATGTTAATTGTTACATTAAATCGATAATAAGTTGACAACTTCTGAAATCCCTTATCTCTGAGGAAATTAAAGTTTTTCATATGAATTTCCGTGACGTTGCAATCCGTACCTAAAATTTTAGAAGTTATTTACATGAATAGATTCATGTAAAATCTACTGCAGATTCTAATTCCTGTTTAGCAGCTAAATTTAAGCTTTTCTATATAGAATTTAATAAATAAATGGGTTCTTTTCGATTCTATCATTAATAGTAATGGGAAAATGCATCAGATTGGATACCAGGTTAACCTTAACCTTAACCTGGTATCCAATCTGATGCATTTTCCCATTACTATTAATGATAGAATCGAAAAGAACCCATTTATTTATAAAATTCTATATAGAACAGTTAAAATTTAGCTGCTAAACAAGAGTTAGAATCTGCAGTAGATTTTACATGAATCTATTCATGTAAATAACTTCTAAAATTTTAGGTACGGATTGTAACGTACCTACATGTCAAGCTACATGTCAATACTTTCATTTTCTCATTGTTTTCTCACAATTTATTTATTTCCAGTGACTAGAATCGCTGAAATTTTATGACACTAATTTTGTCTAAATAATGAGTACTACTGACCTAATGGCGCGAACTTCCAGCGAATGCCATAATAAAAATTGAATACTTAAAATTTTATGTATAAATCACTCGAAAATCAATTCCAAAGTCTGGCTATCAGCTTATCAAAATATTCCTAAAAATCAAGCGTTAAATTCCTAGATATATTTTTTCCTTATTGCTCTAAATTGAAATCCCTGGGCCTTTATGATTTCTTAATTAATTGAAAAACCACTTCGGAAGCTTATGTCTGGAATGACGTATGACTGGAATGACGTATGACTGGAATGGCGTATGACTGGAATGGCGTATGACTGGAATGGCGTATGACTGGAATGGCGTGTAATGAAGTCTGTATACTTCATCGGGGTTCGTTTCACTGACTCGGATACTATAAACATTTAGGAACACCAACAATTTAATAGAACAAACACGAATTAAAGTTCACATCAAGGGATAACGCCATACATTAATAAATCTGATACCTTAGCTGCTCAATCTACAGATTCAACAGGCAACATCTGTGAATTCCTAAAACAAGGTAGTCTGCAGGGCTTCTCCGATCCTCAAGGAAAGAAGTAGGTCCACGTGGTGATCGTTAAGCACGAAAAGCTCTAAGAGCTTGGAGAGTGTCACCTTGAGTCCAGTCCACACGAGATCAGCAGCAACCCAACACATTGAAAATAATACTTATGAACTGACTGAAACTAATCATTTAAGCACATTAATTATGGAATCGCAATATTATCACTAAATAACAACTGAATATGAAATAGCAGTAGCATATTTTATTGTCTAATCTCAATTTGGTTGAACGGAACATCTTACCAATAAAGGCAGGGTAGGTTAACTTGAACCACAGCGAGTTAAGGCGTAATGGTTATCGTCAACCATGCCTAGCAATGGGTTGTTCACAGGAGGACTGCTGGGTAACGACTAGTCTAAGGTCCGGTCTATCACTCTTGTCGAGTGTTTCCAACTGATGCCTTCTAGAATTCAATTTACAACCTTACATGGCGTATGACTGGAATGGCGTATGACTGCTAGGGCGTATGACTGGAATGGTGTATGACTGGAATGGCGAATGACTGGAATGGCGTACGACTAGAATGGCGTATTACTTGAATGGCGTATTATTGGAATGGCGTATGACTGGAATGGTGTATGACTGGAATGGCGTACGACTGGAATGGCGTATTACTGGAATGGCGTATGACTGGAATGGCGTACGACTGGAATGGCGTATTACTGGAATGGTGTACGACTGGAATGGCGTATGACTGGAATGGCGTATGACTGGAATGGCGTATGACTGGAATGGCGTACGACTGGAATGGCGTATGACTGGAATGGCGTATGACTGGAATGGCGTATGACTGGAATGGCGTATGACTGGAAT